TTCTTTTAATGTTTATTTTTAAGAGGGGGGAGCAGGGGCAAAGAAAGAAGGAGACACAGAATCTAAAGCAGGCTCCAGGCTCAGAGCTGTCAGCACAGAGCATGATGTGGAGCTCGAACTCACAAGCTGTGAGATCATGACCTGAGCTGAAGTCGAATGCTTAACCAACTGAACCACCCAGGCACCACTGTATTTAAATGGTGGAGTATTATCAGGCACTGTGCTTTTGTAGGAGTCTGAAATCAAGGAGGAGTTCTGAGTACAGACAGTTTGGGGAATCACGTTCCAAGTTTGAAGGTAAAACTACATAAGTACATGTGAGCATCTAGAGAGTGCATAGAATGAGAAAAGCATTGAGCCAGAAACACAATGTTTAAGGAGGGGAAGGGGGAAGGAAGACATAAGATGAAGAGTATTCAGAGCAGCAAGAAGAGAGTAGAATCATTTGGGAGAGAATGGTTCCTAATAAATACGTGTTGAATAAATATTTGCAGAATAAATGAATGAAGACAGAGTTTCAGAGGAAGGGAGATCAGGACAGAGAAGGCAAAAAGGAACTCTTTGGACACCAGAGTGAGGGTGGTGGGAGCAGAGGTGTGTGCGAGGAAGTCCTCCTACAGTGACTTGAGGAATGCCTGGGCGGTAAGGCGGTGGAGTGGTTTGACTGAGAAGGGAAGAACAAAGAACCAAGCTAAGGGATCAGCAAGGGTTCTGTTATTGGACTTCATTATTGTTTTGTTTTGTATTGTTTTTATGATGAAGAGGAAAGAGGCGGGAGAAAAGGAGAGATTGCAAATGTGAGAAACATAAAGGAAAATAGCAGGAGAAAGGTCCTGGAGGTACTTCGAGGAGAAGACCAAGGGCAGATGCAGGTGTTAACTTAGAGCAGGAAAGGGAGGGGATGCATTACCTGCGGAGACACGAAGGGAGAACAGGATGGGTATGGTTGTCAATGAGAGGATGCAGAAGTTGAGGAAGTCAATGCCTTCACAATGAGTGTCTTGATTAGGTTGTAAGTGAAGGCATTTACTGAAAGGTGATGAGCACCTGTGGCACCAAGAGGCTTCACAAGGGGAGGAAGTTTGGAATAAGCACCAAGGGAAGTAAGAGGGCGCAGAGCAAGGATGAAGGTCAAGTGGCACCAAAGGTACAGTTGCGGGGAACACCTTGACTTTACTTGAATCCACCTTGAAGGATATGGGATTTTTCCTACCTGGAGTTCAGATAAGGAAGTGGAGCTGGCAGATTAGAAACTGACAGTGTTGGGTTTTCCCTGAGATGAGCAAGGAGAACAGGATGGCAAAGAATTTGAAAGAGAGCCTGGGAAGGCAAGAAGGAGAGGGAAAGAGACTGAAATCCCTAAATCAGAGGACTGCCAGACAAAATACTCTATTTCTCAGTCTCCCTTGCAGCTAGATGTGACATATGACTAAATGAGCCAACGGAGATAGAAATAGAAGCACAATGTGGGGTTTTTGGGAGTTCTCTTCCAAAGAGAGGGGAGGTGCTATTGTTTCTCTCCTCCCCTGTCTCACTGCTGGCAATTTAGATGTGATGGCTCTACGCGTCATCATGGACCATGGAGGCAAAGCCCAGACTCCAGGGATGGTGAAGGAACTATCCAAAGGAATCATAGATCCCTTACGATGCTAGAGTAGTCACACCAGCCCTGGACCACCCACTCTGGCTCTCTTTTATAGGAAAGAGAAATAAACTTCCATCTTGATTAAAGCATAATTTTTCAGGTCTCTTTCATTCCAGATGAACCCAAGTCCAGCTAAAATAGTGTGCATGTATAGTGCTTGGAACACTTAGAAGGCTGCCTTGGAAGAGACTGTTAATCCCCCACCATGTAAAGCCACGTAGGGAGCACATTTTACAGTAAGCAAAGAAGCTTTGGTCTTTTTCAGAGATTATATATTGCTCTTGATTTGGAGAGGAAACAAACACTGACACATTTCTTCATTAAATTTTTTAAAAATAAAAGAAAGCCACATGGCTGTTATTGCTTTTTGCCTGTGACAGCAAGCAGTCGTCTCTGTACTTTTTGCAAAGAAATGTATTAAAATTAAGGACAACATTAACACCCAGCATAACACATTTCCATGGCCTTACACTTTTTTTTCCCCCTTTCCTGAAGGGTCAGAATTCCCAACAGTTGGCATAAAATGAATGGTCTAAGCCCAAGCCTAGTAAATCACTGGTATTGCGTTGTTTTTAAAGTGACCAAACAGCTGTAGTTTTCAAGGTCAGCTGAATCATCTGCCAGGGTCACAAGTGTTTCACATGTCAAGAAACGTATATGGGTTCCACTCCATCCAGGATTGTACGGAAAAAGACACTTGCAAACAAGTGATCTGAGGACATGTTTCCAAACAGCTGCTATGGTTATGTGGATAAGAATTACTACCTAAACTGTGTAAGTTGAAGACTATGTTTCCAATCACTCAAAAAGAATATTCACTGCAACCCATAATGTCCCAGCTGAGAGGGCCAGTTTGTGATTATGAAGACACATAGTAAGTACTAAACCAGGATAAAAAGTAACAGTATATGATTGCTATTATAATCATAATGACCTTATTCATGTGCAGGTGGGAAGAATGTGTACTGGGCATAAAAATAACACCCGCCAAACACATAATTAAGATGGAACCTAGCTAAATAGCTGAGGATGGAGGACTTCAAGTAACCAGACTTGGCTAATGCTCCTTCCTCCAATTCATGCTGCAGGCAACACTGACTAGAAGCTAAAGACGGACTCCCGGATGCTAATAACTTCCTTAACAAGCTGGAGTAATTGGTATTATGGAGCCAGACTGATGGCATAGGGAGGGGATGACCTCAGGATTTAAGGAGTTTAGGAACAGGAAAACGTGTTTTTTAAATTCACATTTTAAGCTCAGAGCATAGTTAGAGATGTCTGGCTTCAACAGACAGAAGGAAAAAGGTACTGACTTTTGCAAACAGCTCCTCCAGTGGGTTGTCTGAACTCAAAAGGGATAATGGGCTTTGAAGAGTAGCTCTTAAGTTGCATTTTTATTCAGTTCTCATAATGTTCTTGGTATGTGCTCTTCAAAGACCACAATCGGCCTCCTCATCTTGTTGATATTTACTAATCTTCATGATCTCCCATGTGTGAGACATGTTGAATGAAGACTGCCTTCTGACCTGTTAACCCCTCTCTGCAGGTTTCAAGGTTGTCTTCTGTATTCTGTACGCAAAATAGCAGGCACCTCCAAGTCAGCGGAGTGGTGCAGACAGGCATAGACAAATATTCATTCTAGCTAAGTATGGGCTCCAGTGTAGCTGGAAAAGGTCTCTCAGCTCTGAGTCACTTATACAATCAAGTCCCTGAACATGTTTCTGTCCCTAATATTTTGTTGCTCTAGGCAACCATCAAGTCCACACGAAGACTTCTGCCAACTGGAGGAGATGACTAGCCAGGGGAACCAGAATTTTCTTTTAACTCTTTGTTGAAAATTCAAAATAGCAAACAGTGGGTGTCAAAGACATTCTCTATGGATCTATACTGGGAAAAGTGGAATTCATACACTGACTTGGTGTATCTTTTCTTCACTACTCGAGGAAATAGAATGATAGAAAATAAAGGCAATTAATCAGAAGCACGCATTAAAAAATGCATGAAAGAGCTGGTTGATTTTTAGACATCATGTAATCCGATATCCTCATTTTATAGATGGAAAACCAGCTTAAATTACGGACTCAAGGTTAAACAGGGAGGTAGTGATAGAGCTGGATTTATAGCTTTGGCCACTAAACCCTTGTGGTTACTGCTCTTTCTACAAGTTTCACAAGTCCAGTGCCACATGTAGAATGAAGGAATGTTAGTAAATCATAAGTAATCACCTCTCCTTTGTAATAGCAAATGGTCCTAGATGAAAAGGGCTACTTTGCTGGGAAGCAATCCTAAACATCTGGAGCTATGTAGTGATCATCCAGGAGGGACATGTAACTATTTTAAACTATCTGAAAAGCGTTCACGGTCTATCATTATTTATCTGAATTTGATCTTTGCTTTCTCTGAATTCTTAAGACACTTACTCTCTGTGACACAATCCTGGGAGTATCTAAGATTCTTGATATCTTTTTCATGTGTACAATTATATCTTGCTAAGGCCTTGCAGGTAGGACTATGCCACATTCATTTCCATTTCACTGAAACCCAGAGCACAGGATTAAACATGTTTTTGTTCACTGGTTGATGAGAAGTCAATATTAATTTTATTAGCTCTAGTAGTTTAGTAACAATCTACTCATCCAGAAGTGGTCCAGGAATTTATACTATTCAATACCAGGAAACAGGTGCAAAGAACCCCAGAACAGTTAACAAACGCATTTAAAAACTTACTTGTTAAAAGTGGACTCAGGCCTATAAATACAGAGAACAAACTGATAATTCTTAAGTGCCACTTCTTCCAGACGACCTTCGGTATCTTGCTTTAGATCTCCAGCAGTGAAGTATTAACATTTTCTCTGCTTTTCTTTTCAGAGGTGCCATGTGATGCTTAGGTTCAAAGAGACAAAGATGGTGGTGTGGGAGTGGCTCTCTTAGTTTTACTTTTTCTTTGTAGGGAAACACCTAAGGGGATCTGTCACACTTATGAATCTACCCTCTTTGAAGGTCTGATTTGAAAGCAGATTGGGCTACTCTTTGCACAAAGGCATTTTAAATGTGCAGGTGTGACTGCCCAAATTAACAACAATACTTTGAACTTTTACAGAACCTTTCATCAAATGATATCAAAACAACCCAGCTTATAAAGCCTTAGGAAGCTAGTGGACAAAATATCCTACTGACATATAACTGGGGATTTAGTGCATTAGCTATGTTGATGATTTGTTTCAAGCCTCCAAACAATGGTATGTTTAGGTAGAGGAAACTATTTTCTGCAGGCTACATCTCCAAATCGTGATATTTAATTTTGAAAAATTAAAAAAGACAACAATAATCCTTTTCTTTTTAAAATTTGTTGCTGAATTTTAGCTGCCAGTTCACATGAACTTGCAGGTCATCCTTGGGCAAGCGCCGTGCTATTCTTTTCGGTATTGTTCTATTTTTAGTAGATGTGCTGCCAAAATGAGCACAGAACCTAATAATTATTTTTCCCTCTTAATTTGGCCAAGTATAGCTTCTTATTGATGATCCAAAAAGAAGCTCACTGAAGATACCAAAATGGACTTCACCTATGGTGAGGGAGAACCATACTTACCAATGCTTTTTAAATGAACTGAAAAGTGTCCGACAAATCTGTTTGAGTCTTCTTGGTATTAATTTAAGTGCATAGCTGTGAAGCATGTTTCTCCAATAGCACAAATCTCATCTTTGTCTGTTTTTCTCCTTCTGGCTTCTTTCACTCTCTATCCTCACATACATTGATGTGCACTCAACTGGGAACAGGGGTGCATTCCCATTTTCCCAGATTTTAAATCTGTTGTAAAGTAAATACAAGCAAAATGTGTCTGAGGAATGTTTATCAGACTATGGTTTTTATTTGGCTTTGTCTTAGCATATTAGTTTTTTTAAAATTTTGTGCCCCATTTCAATGGTTTCTTTGATGTCTTGTTTTGACCAGCTGCTGAGCTTTTTGTGGCTGTCCATTTACATCACTTTACAAAATGGTACATAAATGAAATTTGAACAAAATGAACAGTACTTTCACATTGTTTCAAAATCAAACATGTTCCTAAGGAATCTGATTTATGGCAGATGGAGAACAAAACCTTCCAGAGGGAGGGCTGTTAAATGAGTCTTAATTGCTTGCATATGAAAATATAGTGACTAAGATTGTGTGCACAATTAGGAATTTAAACATGTAGAAAAAAGCTGGCCATGGAAACATTTTTGCAGGCACAGCTAGTGTGTATGAACACAGACAATAGAAGACAAGTTAGTAAAGGAAAATAATTTTAAAAGAAACTTAGTTGTTTACTTCATCATTCCTTATGTCAAGCTTCCAAATGCAAAGAGGATTCATTTACCTCTGAAACTCACTGTTCACTCAAAAAAAAAAAAAAAAAGGTTTATTCAAGAAATAGAATTTCCTTTTTTAGTCCCTACTATGTACCAGATACTAGGCTTTGTGCTTATTCATCTCATTTAATCCTTATAATAACTCTCTGAGGTAGGTTAATTATTAATCTACATTTTATAGATGACAAATTGAGGTTCAGAGAATATGTTGCTTCAAAGTGAAATGGTTATCAAGTGGCATATACTAGACTCTCTGTATTGACTGAATGAAACTAAAGCCCACCCTCTTATAGTGCCTAGCTGTTCCCCTGGAAAAACCTACATACCTTTCAAAAAAAGTAATATTAAGGCTGCCTCTACTTTCAATTTTGAGTCAAAATGCTTTCCTTGTGTTGGGTGACATGGCATGGTGAGGCTGAGTGGATGGGCCAGAGTTAGTCAGATCTGGGGGCAGGGCTGGGACAAAGAAAGTAGATTTAGAAACAGAAGCTGGAGCTGGGTGGCCTCCGAAGCTGTCAGAGTTATTGGGTAGGGAGCATGGTAGTCAGGTAGAAGGATTTAGTTAAGAGAGTCAGTGCTTCAGTGGCTCTGCCCCAGTATGTGGAACTCAGTTTAGTTCCCCACAGCTGGGGGTTAGGCCTTCCTCCTTACGATGACTCAGATGTTCCAAATGAGTAGTACAGTGTTCTACAGTGGGCTTCCATTTGTCTTCAGAAATCAAAGTTCATCTCATGCCTCTAATGGACCAACATGCCTTTTCCATGGACCTCAAGTCCTCTTTCAGATTCTTTCTTCTTAGGAAGCCTTCACCTTGCTAGAATGGGGGTACAGGCTATTTCTAAGAGGACTTTGATGAGGGCCACTGTGTGGATATCCATAACTAAAGTTTGGATTCCTTTGGAATCACTTTGGTTCCTTATAAGCAAACCAACAGTGATAGATCATGAAACCCTGCATAGAACTAAGCATAAAGGAGGTATCAATAAACATGTGTGTATCAAATGATCAGGTAATCACATCACTTTTGTGCCTACAGAGGAACTGGATTCCCAGGGACGCAATGATGAACAAGTGCCATCCACATTCCTAAAAACCTTATTCTTATAAAGAACAGCAAGCTGAGAGATATATTAGCAAAGTGTGTTGTGGGCAATCTTCTTATTGGCCAACACACAATCTTCTCACTATAATCAATAATAATTTGGGGTCCACCATCATTTATTTCTCTTTTCTAACTGTACCCTAATTTGTTTCAGGAAATTGTTTGGTGCCTCCATTGGATAATTTTAATAATAGCATAGCCCAAAGTGATCAAGTGCTTCCTATGTGCCAAGCATTGGGCTTAGTTTTTCATAAATATCATCTCAATTTTCATGAACTCCTTATGAGATAATTACTACGACTATGCCCACTTCAAAAACTGGGGCCTTGAGGCTCTGAAAGGTTAAATGAAGTGTTTGAAGAAAAGCATCTGTGAGCAGCAGAGCTGGGATATGAATCCACACAATCTGGCCTCATAACTTAGGCTCTTAGTACTACATTATGTTACATCGTGTGGCAGAACAGCCAGATGCTCTATTTTCCTTTAGCCAAGACCCAAAACCAGACCATTTAGATCCCTCTGCTGGAATTTGACTCTTACGCAGATTAACAAAGAAACTTAAAACGGGAAGCTCTCTACATTGTTCCTACCATGAGAATTTCCCTTCATTTGTGCCCTTCTGGCTCTCTGAAGATGAATGGATTCCTTCAACCCTGATCCTCCAGCCTCCCCACTAATTCTCAGGGAATTGGAAATTCTTCCAATATTCTATTTTACTTAAGTAGATTAGATTCCATTTTACTAGATTCTATTTTACTTACGTTAGCAGAGTTGGGTTTTGCCTTGCACCTGGAGGATTGCTGCTGATACACCACCGTCTAAGGGGAGGGTGTAAGCCAGCCTAGGAGAGGACTGGGCAAATCCTCAAAGAGGAGGATGCTGGAGGACTGTAAGTGACCAGTAAGAATGTGACAGATGCAATGAGAAATGACCTTGTAGCAAAATGCCAGGTTGACTTCCTCTGCTGCCCTTCCTGTTGAAATGATGAGGGCTTGGGCTCCTCTCTCAGCCAGTAGGACTGGGACACATTGGCCTTCTCCTCTACCTCCAGGACCTTCAGCAGTTTCCAGCGAAGAGAACTATGCTAAGAAGATCTTTAGAAACACAGACCGTACAAGGTATGACTGAAAAGGCAAAAAGACTGAGAGACCATTGCATTGCCCTTAAAAACGGACAGGATTTCAGACGAAGCTGATTCTTTCAAAGCGGCCCCTGTGAAAACCTATCTATATGCTTATTCTATATGTTGCCATCGCTCTACCATCTTAGGTCCTCGTCTCGGGACTGCCTTCTCACGTCTATGTTATACTTCTTCCAGATGCGCCAAAATTGTCTTACCCCTTGGAGTGGATTCATTTCTAGAATTAGCCTGATCCAGGCTACTCTGACATCCTGTGTGTTGAGTAGGGTTGGTAAACATATTGGAAATAATATTTCTGGTCAAAAGTGAAACATGACAGTAAGCCAATGAGGTGGCTCTTTCCTCTCTGGCCTATAAACTGTTTCTAAAACCATTTCCAAAATAATCTCAGCAGTGGCAGCTGAACTAAAAAAAAAAAAAAAAAAAAAGGTACATTTTACAAAGGTAACTATTTTGAGGATCAACACAAATAGTACAATAGTGTCTACTGATAGTTTTGTAATGCTTGTCAATATATAAGGCACTTTTCACCTTTTAGTAAGAGCTAGCATTTATTATTACCAGACACTGTGACAAATTTTCTGCATGCATTATCTCGTGTAATCCTCAAAATCAGAAGGGTATTATTATGATTATTCACTGCATTTTAATTAGAAAGGACTCGGGGCATAGAGTAAGTTGTCGAAGGTCACAAAGCAGGTAAGCAGGTGAGAAAGAGAGCAAGGCTTTCTTGAAACCCCGATCTCCTGACTTCTGAGCCCTCTTCTTCCTTTACGTTTCGACTTGTGCATCAGATTGACAAACAAAAGTTACAACAGCGTGGAATTTTTTTTTTTTTTTTCAAAATAAAAACCTGCAGGAAAAGAAAACCTAGGTCTATTTGTATGTAAACAATTCTTGTTAAACAGCACAGTCACATGTCAGGGACCTGAGGCGTCTCAGAAGCCAGTCACCAGTTCCTCAACTTGGAGCGCTCAGTTCCAGGATTGAAAGTCGTTTTCTGTCACCCTCTCTAGTTATTTGGAAGACATTTCCTCTTTTACTACTCTGTCTTCTACTTTCTTGTGCTGGTAAGTTTCCCGAAGTTCATGAACTGGGTCCTAGACCCTTTGCCATGTCTGAGCTAAATCACAGTGTGGACATCTTCCTGGTTCTCTAGGAAAAAGACCTCTCATCCCGACTCATTTCTTCTTCCCTCACTTCCTTCCCCCTGTCCTTATTTTAGCTATTCGTCTATCCATGCATTTACGAACCCTCTGCTTTTACTTAATGCTCTTTGCCAATCTACAAAACACATTTTATCTTTTGCAATTCAGAAAACTTCTAGGATGATGGTTCTAAAGCTCTGATATTTTATGCCTCACTGAGTCCCAGAGCCTAAACACAGTCTTTCACATCCTGGAAACAGAGAAAGAAAGAGCAAACCCAGGAAGGCACACAGAAAAGAGATTCTCCACATGGACAATTCAGTGTGCAATATGCAAATATCAAAAGCCTATCAGAAGGAAAGAGTCATAAGCACCCATGTAGAATACAGTGAACTAGAAATACTTCCAGAGTGCCCACAGTGCCAGGAAAAAACCACAGACAAAGAGAGGGGATAGCACATTACAAAGCACTGGATGTCAGGCAGCAGAAATATCTAGAGGAAGTACATCTGGGGGATAAAGAGCTAAGGAACTTCATGGCTAGAAACAGTACCCAAGAAAATGATAACAGGCATGAAGGGCCTATGGCGAGTCTAAAACAAAGACATGATGAATCTTATCACTTGGTAGAAGGTGCTGTTTCAGGGGTTAAAAGTGGTCCTTGAAGCAAGATGAGTGCTGAGCCTCAAGCACTGCTTAGCCCCTAATTTCTGACATACTCTG